GTATTACATACCAGAGTGGTTGGAAAGGTTTTATCATCAGGTCATTATCTTCGGAATGGAAGGGATGCAGGAGAATCGCAACGATGTATTGGCTTTGGAGGTGAAATGTGAGTACAGTAAAGCAGCGTTTTAGGTTTCAAAGTAAAAAAATTGTTCATGTGGCTAACAGGAAGGACAGTTGTGTTTATGTGTTATCTCCGAAACTACAACCATCGATCAGGTGAACTATGGATATTGTTTTTCTCTAAATCACCTAAAACACAGATTCCAGTTGAATTTTAGCACGCTTAACCATGACCTTCGCTAAATTTAAACCGCCACCAATGAGGACCAGCAATGCCAGTCTGTTTTACTGTTTAAATTATTGTTTAAAATTTTTACTGCCTGTGTTTACTGTTTTTCTGAATCATTTTAAGCAGTTTTACTTTTTTACCTGCGCAAGCTCATTGTTATCTGAATTGGCTACGAATAAACAACACTCAACTAAATTTAAACTGTTTAACTAGGTATTTCAACAGCGTTGGAAAAATTCCCAGCTTATAACGTGCGACGATCCTTTGTTAACGAATGGTCGGCTACTGGAATATTTTGCCGAAAGTGTCAAAGACGGCCAAGTTGTTGCTACCACACATCAACAAATTTGTGGACGGAAGCGCGAAAGTGCGTACGGCCCGATTTAATCGAGCATTCGTTGTCGCAACCAACAGCGTGATCCCGAGAGCTGCTAACGTAAGTTAAATTCTGTAGACATTACAACTGAGTTCTTAACTTCGTAATACTGAATAATGCACTACGATTCCATTTCTTCGTTTTCGACGACTACCACGTTGCATAATTCGTTAAGATCCCATATGATAATTCAAAAAGAAACGTCAGGCTGATAATAAAATTGAAAACCAATATATAAGAACCTATATCAGAGCTTAGCGCTTTCAGTCTAACCATTGCACTGGAAAAGTTCATGCTCAGCGGTCATCAGACATTTACCCATGATCTCTAATAAATCTCCAGTTGGAATATTTTTTGATTTTCCCAATAAATATATGACGCAGGTTAGTCAGAATGGAAAGGATGATCGGTGGTATCGAAGTTTGATTATGACTATAAAGGTCATTATGGAAATGAATTAATTCTTCATGAGTATTTCCTCTGTGTTTCAACGAGTCCGAATTCTTGCTGCAGAAATGGCGAATGAATATAATTTAAGTATTAAAATTTCAATTCTTGCTGCAGAAATGGCGAATGAATATAATTTGTATTAAAATTTCAGTGGACGCGGATTTTACGGATATAGGCTTGTGCGTCCGATCAGGTATATCGTTTATTATATTCATTTGCTTTCGTATTGATCTTGAAACGTTATCTGCTCTTAGCTTACTGTGTTGGTAAGATTTCTCTGCTGCAGCACCATTGTACGTTATAACTTGACGCTTCTCTTGTGGTTTTCAGCGAAGTCATCTGAATTTGACCTAGATTTCGATAAGCCGATGGAGAAGATGCCGGTGGACTTCGACATTGAGGATCCGGCTCCTTGACTGTAGCGACAAACAGGATCGTGGCGTTCTGAAGAAGATCATCAAAGAAGGCACCGGACGGATACACCATTCGATGGATCCATTGTGCACGTCCATTACATCGGACGCCTGGTGGATGGCAGTGTTTTCGATTCCAGCCGCAAGCGAAATGAGCGTTCAAATTCGTTCTGGGAAAGCGTAAGATGCAGTTTCTCTTTCCGTCGTCATTTTATTGTGAGGATAAATTTCAGGAGAGGTGATTCAAGCTTGGGATTGGGCTGTTTCGACCATGAAAAAGGATGAGATCTGTGAGATGGTCTGCAAATCAGCCTATGCATACGGAAAGATTGGTAGTCCATCAAAAATCCCATACTCAAACTCAACACTGATTTTTCAAGTGGAACTACTGAATTGGGATGTAAGTTTGTCTGTGTATTAATTTTAGCTTTTGTAGATTTTGAGATTTTCGGAACCGATTTTTCCGAAGCGGTCAAAACTGAAAAGTATTTTATGTTTGCGTTTGCATAGCGCTTTTGTATGTAATTCGTAACTCTTGTGATTTGTGTAAAATTCTTTGGGTTGAGTATTAACTAGAAAAGTGCACTCGCTTTTGCGGGCACTGCATGACCGAAGAGTAGCGTGAAGGGTAGATTTAAGGGTTAAGTAAGGTAAGTTCTTGTCGTAAGGGTTAAGTTCTTGTGTTGTACCAGAACTAATGCAACAGATTACTGAAGGTAATCTGCTGCATTAGTTCTTGTGACTTTTTGGTCACCTCAAATTATCGCTACAGAATGTCATAAATTTTTCGAGGCGCATAGAAACGAAATTAAATAATTGGCTCATTAAAACGCAAAGCACTAGTAAATACGCTATCGTTTGGTTTATTTCAGGATGAAGAAATTGGCACAGAAAAACTTGTGAAACGGATTATACGAAAGGGTGCTTCCACGCCCAGTGACCATTCCTTTGTTGAAAGTATGTATATTACCGGAATTTGCATGACATCGTGTTTGGACAGGATTAGCCGGAAAGCAGTTTTTGGCTGCATAGCTTTGCTTCAAAGAAAAATGCAATATGACTTTTCACTGATAACCTTTAACATCGTGGGATTCGTATGCGCTGTGCAATATCATAGTCATAATTACTTTGTTAATTCCAGTCCGCCTGTGCGGGTTGTATGAGGGGCGCAAGTTTGACGAACGAGAAGTGGAATTTTATGTTGACGAAGTAGACGACGACCTGCATCTTATTCCTGGCATTGATTTGGCCGTGAAGAAAATGAAAAAGCATGAATGTTCGTTATTTACTTTTCATTCGGATGTCGCTTTTGGACGAGAAGGAAACAGGCAATGGAAGATCCCCGGTAATGCGGAAGTACGCTACGAAATCACGCTTCTGGATTTCGAGAAGGTAAATGTCGCTTCCAGTATATCTTCGGAAATAATTTTGGTCCTACGTTGAGGTTACCGACTAATAAAACGCTGAAGAATCAAGCTGTTGTGCAATTAAAAACCTAATGAGGTTGTGAATGTACAGGACCAAGACACTAGGTGCATGAATCCGGATGAGAAGTTCGAAACAGCGGAGATGTATAACGAAAGAGGATCTCAGGCGTTCACGGTTAGTAAAATAATTTGCGTTTAACGTTGAAGCTCATTTAGTACTGGATTTTTATGCTATAGAAAGGAAGACACGCGGCAGCGATTAAACATTATGAACGAATGAAAAAGATGCTGGCCGCTGACGCGGAATTTAAAGATGAAAACGAGGAGAAACGCAAGAAAATGTTGGCTGTATCGCATAACAATTTGGCTGCCGTTCATTTGAAATTGGGCGATCTGTACGCTGCGAAACGAGCCACGGAAGAAGCTTTGACGCTGGATCCCAACAACATCAAAGGGCTTTATCGAAAGGGAACTGTAAGTGCAGATCTGTTATCTTGGTTTGTGAATTACTGCAACGTAGTTAATTCACATACTGGGGTTGCTCTTTAGGCCAACTTCGGCTTGAGAGACTACGAAGAGGCTAAACGCGATTTCCAGCGAATTGTCGATCTGGAGCCGAACGGATACGAAAAAACAAAGGAGTATCTCAAGACGATCGCTGATATACAGGATGCTGCGGAAAAGGAAGAACATAATAAAAGAATGAAATCGATGTGCGGTATGATGAAAAATGTTCGCAAATGAGTACGGATAAGGCCAGGCCGTAACCTCCTTTGAAGGGCAGCGAATCGATTGGCAGACATTCGTTTTTAAATTCTGTGACATTGTCTCATAAATACGGACTTGCTCGGTTTTGGTTTTTTCTCCCAAATATTTTTACTATGCATCCGTGTGTTGCACATATATTGCGGGAAATTGTCGTTGGGACGAATTTTATGTATGTTTTGTGTTTTATATGTATTTCGATGCATGTTTTTTTGCCTGAATGACTGGAACTGAATGCTTGGATTGATGGTTTCGAATGAGTAAAGAATCGGCGTTTTTAACGGGGAAGATTTAATGGCCAATGATTCTGCAACGCAGTAACCAATGGGCAACTTAAATTTTCGGGGGTAAACTTTTATGCTCCTGGCCTCGTTCTAACGTCTTATAGCATTGGGCGCGATTCAAGTATTACGTAACGGAAATTTTCCACTTTTTCGACCACCCCCCCACCCTTTTGTGACCTTTATCCATGTATTACTTATGGGCGGGTAACGCCAGCCGGACCCACCCCCCACCCCCTGAGCCGTTACGTAATACTTGAATCGCGCCTTGGCCAAAGTTTCGTTGTATTCAGTTAGACACTTCATAACAATTTCGCGACTGGGATACTTTCCTAATAAATTTGGTTCCATCTGTTGAGCGGAGCTTTGTCTTGTGGACATACATTCGGGACTGCTCTGCGGACGCAGAACTGCCGGATTTCGTCTTCAAGATCGTTGGCATGTGCACACTTCTCGAACAGCATTTGATTGGTTTCCTGATACAATGCCACCTTGTCCTTCAGCTCTGTGATCTGCTGTTTTTTGATCGAAGAATAATTTGTTGCCTAATAAAATAATTAATGGCAGTACAGACTGCTGTTTCTGACAATGACTAAAGAAATGAGCAATTAAATCGCGCATAAATGCTTTTATAATTTTTCTTATTTCAATCGTCACCTGAAACCAGTGGTGTTATTTCCTATGCTCATCCGTTTAAAGCTGAACAGTAATGAATAGGCTTCGATAGATTCCAGTCTACTGGGACAATAATTGTTATAAATTACATAAACGAAATTAATGTGGTTTTGAAAAATTGTAATTGTAACTGAAACAATTGGACATTCCGAGTACAAGCACCTATAAGTTTATAACTGATCTACCACTGATGCGTACCCTAACCTTTCAAGACGTCCATCCGTGAAGCAACACAGGAATCGTGATACGCGTCCCTTTCTCCCTTGAACCGTTTACACTGTGCTTGTACGCTGTTTAATTGCTCTAGAACATGCGCTAACTGATGCTGTAATGTGTCACAGTCTGAGCAGGTTTTGGGCATGGCTTGACAAGGTCACATGAGGAATGAGGTCGAGCCCTTTGATGTTAAGATGTTACGTACAAGGAATAACACAGTGGATGGAAAAATATTGTGATAACACCACTAATTATCCAGAAAGAAGTGAAATAAGCTATCTAACGAAAACTATGAGTTTTTAGATGTCTGTACTTCTGCTTCGATAATGTAAATGCCTCTTTGATAGCAACAAAATTACTGTACAGTTTTAGTTCGAAAATTTTATAGAAGTACGTAGGTATTCTTGGGGGAGACCGTTACAGTACTTTACAGATAACTCTATACTACTTCTGCAGCTAGTTTTACGACACACTTTTGCCATGTAAAGTGCTTTGAAAAGTTGTAATTGTACTCTTGTACTTCGCTTAATAATTAATTTTCTGCTTAGGTACTGTACAGATACGTCATAATGTTTTTTAGTAAAAAATTAAATTATTTATGCATATAAATTATTTTCTTTCCTCCAGTATTTTGGAAATTAAATTATTTATGCATATAAATTATTTCTTTCCTCCAGTATTTTGGCCTCCGACATATAAAGCACGTAAATGTTGTGAATCACACGTATAGACAAGTTGTGTTAACGGTGTTCCGTAATGACAAATTTTATTTCCGTATGTTTCACAAAATTCTAAGTTTTATTTAATAATATGTTAATTGACAGTTATAGCGGTTATCAAAGACTCGCTGCAGTCTGTTTTCGGGAACGTATTTTATGCAAGCAGGAGATGATCCAGTAGAGAATATAAAGCAGCAAAAATGCTGCTCCCAGGGAAATAAAGGGAATAATTGGTTGCAAAACAGTGTCGAGAAATGACCCTGAATCATCCTTGGCCATCGCAACCTAAATGGTCAGCTGTGTCAGTAACCGGCACCGGTAAGACTACACGATTGCATGTTGCACTCTTTTATACGAATTAATCAGAATAGAATATAATATTAATAACAACAATTACCAGATCATAAGTTGCACTGAATTTCGTTCATAGCTTTGTATGTACACTCCATACAGTATCATATATATAGATATGCTAATTTGATAAATAGTTTAGACTTTCATTAGTGTATCTGTACACTACATAAAGCTAATTGCTTACTATTCCTTTTTGAGCATATTTGTTCATCTGGGAAGCCATCAAGCTCTGCACTTTATGTCATCAAATTTCCTCAGTATGTACAGTAAACATCGTACGTTTTCCTACCTGCATTTTTTGTTCGTTGTTTTTAATTTGTTCCAGAGCATGGTAAAATCTGCGAGCCTGAAGGGTGCGATCTAGGTACTCACTGCTTTCATAGTACAAAATCTTCGTGGCTTCGTTCAAAAGTTTTGGCTTTCGGATTAGCACTTCATGATGACGGAGATCGGAAACAAGACGCTGCCGTAGGGAGAAATGTAATTCGCGAATTTCTTCTTCCGGAACATTTTTATGATTATGTAATCGCTATGGAGAAATGACGATATTGGCTAATTATACGAACAGCTTACGATTAAAACTTGCATTGTACTTGTTAATCATGGATAACGGTAATCATTTTAACTGTTTTTGTATAATTGGTTTTTAAATCACTTCTTACTTCTTAATTGAATTTTACAAGATATGATAGACTGAAGTACAGAGCACATGAGGCAATTGGTTGTGCCTACTAGCTGACGATGAACACAAGTACCTGCAAAGTTGCTTTCTTGTAATGATTTATTAACGTCGCTGTGAATTCCTGGCCGATAAATTCCAGCTCTTTCTGTAATAATGTAATAATTTCAACGCAACCAATGAAATAAACTTGCTCCATATTTAAACTAAAGCTCCACTCATTGTCTGTGTATAAGTAAAGTCAGAGATATTTATTTGGCTACTTCATAAAGTTACCTCCAAGGCATCCTGGACCGTGGGAATACGCGTGTTCCCAAAAATTTCTTCATACACCTGCAAGCGTTTTTCCTATAATTTGTATAATGCAAATTATCAAGATTACGAAAAACACTAACTTTTACACATTTAATTTGCAATTTGAATAACTGTGTGGCGATATTTTTATCATAGGAAAATTAATACATAGGTTGTTTGAAAACCTTTAATCGCTCAGCCAGATCGTGACCGGTCAGCTGCTTTCCAAAGATAGTTTTTGGAAAAATTGTGAGCGGACTAAAGTGTGAGCTAAACAACTGAGAACAGGCCTCTCCAAACACTGGATTGATATCTGCAAAAAGCTTCCTTGTTCACAAAATACGTTTCCCAAATCTATCAATTAGTCGTAGTATTTATGTTCACCATTTTTCGTAAACTGCAAATTTGTGGGATCAAGCGAAATCGTAGGCAGAAATGAACAGCTTATGCCGTGAAATCCTAGCTGCATTTCTTGCAGTGATCCATTCCGATCCGAATCAAAATACCTGCACGATGCAAAATTCACAATATGACATTGTAGCAGAAGTTATAGCTATAGTCATAATAATGGTGATATACTCGTATATAGATATGACTCATATAGCGGTGATACAGTCGGATTATTGTACATTGCTGCTAATAAAGCCTTAATACGCTTAAACTGACAATATCCGAAATGTAATATTCCGCTTCCCTGCATGTACACATCCGGATTTTTTTCAGCAAGGTGATAATCACGAATCACAAATAAAATATCTTGCAGCAGTCGTTTGTTTCGGGATTCTAACAGAGTGATCACTGGTTGATCGGATGCTGCAACAAGAACACCATGCGCCACCAACACTGAAATTTTGCAAGACGATGCAGAAAGGTTATCTGCGCAACTACCCGTAGCACTTGTTTTGCGGCAACATTAACCGAGTTACAGCAACCATTTGCATAGAATTAGATAGTTAGACTTAATTATAACAAACCTACAAAACATTACTACAAAAACATTTTTTGTGTTTATGGCATTATGGCTTACTTATCGAATTCCCACTGTTATCGATCGTATTTCGAAGCCTCACGGTTGGAGCTCCAAGAAGATTCGTCAGTGCCCGGTCCAGAGTTTGTTTGGTGTTTATGATCTGTGCAAACATTCAGTAACCTAATGTAGCATTCTGGTTAATAGTTTCCTGTATTCATTTTCTTCTTATTTTTACTTTTCAGTATTGGTACAGTTAAAAAAATTCGCTAGTATTGACAACATGGGCTCTGTTAAACGGAACAAGTACTAAACAGCAATAGTTGCCGTGAAAAAATATTTCCATCATTATTTGAGGGATTATTCACAGCTCCCAGTTATTAAAATCATTTCAGTATTCTAAATCTCTTTTATCACTGCTGATAGCGATGTGTGCAAGGGACTGGTGGATTCTGTTAGAACAAGGCATTGTTAGTTTTGAAGAACTACCCTAGAGATCGCTCGATTATGCTGGTAATTTTTATACAATACGTCTCACGAGCAGTGCTTGCAGTATTTATCAGTACGGTAAACCTAAATTTTAATAAAGCTTACCGTTGTGGAAGAAAGCAGAGTAGAAGCGTAGAAGAGTTCCGAGTCAGTTTGGCTGCTGTTGAGATGATTATCAAAAAGCCCTTGAATATCAACGAGGAACACCGCCAACCCATTAGGCATCAGGTAGGGATGTGCCGTGATCCACATGCCTTTAGTGCAGACAAACTGAGCGGACGATGTCTCAAAAAGTCGTTTCCGGCAATAGCGCGGTATCACCGAAGCGTCGTCGTACAACCAGTCTCTGGTGGTCTAGCGCAATGCAGTATAATTATTCAGACGGCAAAAATTAGTTCCCATATATATATTGCAGTGTGCCGGCTCTTTTATAAGGTCATGCACCCATCCTCCTTGGTTCGTTTAAACTCGAATAATTCCTTGCAAATACAGTATATAAGCGGTATTTTTACGTACAGTACGTAAATATGCGCTATCGAATTTAGTCACAGCGCAGCGTTATATACGAGTACACGTCACGCGCATATTTCTAGCGGAACCGTATTTATCACGGACGCATTTTATTAAAATGAAATTAAAGGTCACGGAAGGTAATGAGAAAACACCGCGAAATGTAAAAGGATTGGTTTCTTAACCCACCGTGCTACTGCATGCTAAATATCGTGACAAGATATTCAGAAGTGTCGATTTGCCGCTTCGGTACGTCCCCACGATACTGATTATGGCTACTTTACGTTGTCCAACGAATTCGTTTGACTTCAGCATTTTCCGGAACTTGTCCAAATTGATAAATTTTAAAGACCCGTTTTCTTTGATCTTTGCCAGCTGTAAATGCAAATTAAGGAGCACTGCATATATCAATTCTCGGGACAGTGCATAATTAAGCAATAAAACATAATTTCAAACATAGATTTTCTAGTGAACGCAACGCTTGACCAAACAATAAAAGGGCTATACCAAGATCCGTCACAAGTAAAAATTGCAGCTCATTACGTGCTGCTAAATAAATCGAAGCAGTTGTGCTTTACATTAAGGTATAGGTACTTACGTGTCATGCGTTAGTTTTGCGTTAAGGTTACAATTAAGTAAAAACATTCTCTAGCATTATTATTGCTATTAAATAAAAGACAAACCAAAATTTCTTAATCAAGATGCTATAGGTACGAGTATGCCGACTGTAATATGTCTGCAAGCTTTGAGATTGTCAGCAGGATTTCGATACTAAGTAGTCAAACTTTATACTGATTTCAACTGGTGCACTGCTTACAGTTTTTTAAAATACTAATTAAAGGTCACATACCTGGTAAACAGATTGACGCGTGTGTTTGTGCTTCGAATGTTCGCACCAACACGGCAGTGAATCGTATTCCAGTTCTTTATCAATCAGCACATGCTGATCCATTGTACAGAAGCTGATCATGCTAATCATTACCAACAAAAATAAGAACATCCGCAACGACAAGTGCGCTTTTATCACAGTTTGCATTTGCATGTTTGTTTGAGCAAAGTAAAGGTCTGCCAAATGCCCATTCTAATTACTTTGAATATAGTTGAGTTCATTGCCAGAAAACGATTAACTGACTTTTTAATTCGATTCAAAGCACCTCGAGTTTCTGTAGAACCAACTCGCATAGTGTTTGTACGCTTGCTTCGTAAGCTGTCCGCTACTCCCAATGTTTTGTCTGTATGTTCATTCTGGATCGTATAAGAGTCCACATTTTTTGAGAGTTATTAGGCAGGAGATAGGTTTCTTTATTGAACATGCGTACATACGTGCGTTTTTGGCAATGAGGAGTACTTATAGACCACGAGCGGTGTTTGAGCTTAATTTGCGTACTGATGGGATATTAATATAGATCAGGGACCAAATTATGAAGTCAATCTGTCAAATCCAGTCCGCGCCAGTCGTATCAAAAAATATTCTGACTCTTCTGGCGTTGACACAAAAATATTCGGTACTTCTATCTGTATAACATAAAAATGCGCATAAACTTGCGCTTATGACAAAATTAAACGTAGCAGTACGATCTTCACAGTTTTTTATTATAATTCTCTAGATATAGAGGGTACAAACTAAAGGTTAGCTTTTATATAACAATATCTTTCTGTTTTTTGTGCTTGCACACATGTGACGAGTAAATACTCAACACAGTACTTTCGGCGTTAATATAAGGGTGTACTTTATTAACTGGCGGTATACTAAAGTCACAATTTTTCTATCATAATAAGGGTGTACTAATTTCACATAATATAAAATATTTGTGTAGTAAACCGCCAAATTTTTCGTGACTCTTGTTACATACAAATTCTGATGATAATATCAGGTGCGCTTGTGCTTTATAAGCCTTGACCGTGGTCTGTACGTTGTAGATGATATTTTTAGATACTGAATAAATCTTTTTTCAAACACCGGTAATTTATGCGGTACAACGGTATTGAAACTACAATTATGCATGACATATCAGTGAAGTTTGAATATCGTCGCCATCCAAACGTTCGGGACATGCTGCATGAGATCCTCCAGCTACGCATAAATTTTCTTACAACAAATGGGCGCATCCAAATAGTGCAACCATTAGCCGCTTTTTTGTGTCGTACGTTCATTGATGTGGACGGGCACTGCGCTAGCTGATCCACCAATATTTACGAGTATGTATGCAAATAACCGAAGCAAAATTATACGGAGCCAATTCGTTTGTCGTGTAACGTGTTAGAAGCGATGCAACACGGTAGTGGCACGCAGTCAATAATACAACTTGCATATTATTATGGTACAAAGAATCAGATTTTACGTAATGTACCAGAACAGAATGTGCTTCGAACTATATTACCTAAAATATGGCTTCGAAAGTAATTATCCTGTTTCTGTAATCTGGCTAAGATGAGCTAATCCAAACCGAACTGTCTTCCGATCTGACAGTTTTCTGTGAGCGCTCGGAAATTAAATTATTTCTTGAACCCTGCTTGACCTTTTGGAAATTCAACTACGATCATGTGCTTCGCAAGAAATCGAACGTCTTCTTTTTTTGCAAATCACGAACAGGAACATGTTCACTGAATTACGTACAACCGGTGTTTAGCTTGTAAAATTTACTTTTTGCAATCGCAGCCCGGACAAGGACATGTGTAAAGTTTTGCGAATACAGTTGTATTACTGTGCTATATTATCGAAGAAGTACATGTACGATTATGAGCATGGACAGCAGCTGCGGTTCGGTTAACCCATCAAAGATGTTTGCTAAGGATTAGATCGTTGTTTACCATTGTGAACCGGCTTGTAAGCGGCCCAATGGTCAGTATTTAAAGTGGCTAATTTACGGCGATAATTATCGCGGCCAGAACACTGCCAGTCTGGAATGGAGAGCGACATTTCGACCCGCCAAGCGGAACACAAGAATGTACAGCGCCATGCTTGACAAGGCAAGCTTATGATAAAACGCCCCCAGTGAGATCTTTATTGCACCCAGTAGCCATAATAATATCCTGTAAACAATATATCCAATTCTTAGACAAACTGTCAGTAACTTAAAACCTTTCTTTCGGAATTCTTGTTCGCTCTACTTTAAGATTACCGGCATTAAATATCAAACTTGCAGTACTACCGTAGGATATGCAGTACATCAACCAAATTGAACTCTATTTTTCAGAGCAAAATAAGTATTACTTCATTAGCAAAACAACTGGCGAGAACTTTAGAATATACGCGGTGGCCCAATTCACCTAAATGATAAAATTATGAATTCCAAAAACTGCATCATGTTATATACAGTATTTGAACGTGATTTGTATCAATCACAATACTTCATTGGTGATCAGGAAGACTGCAATACCGAACGGAGCAACAGAATAAGATACTTATTGTCAGTGTAGCTATATCTTTAGCTCGCACGTGAATGAATATTTGCAGCGTGTAATCATTTCTTTGAAATATAAGTGTTATGTTGTTATTTGCATAAGTTATTTGTACCAGTATAAATTGAATTAAATTAGTTTACATCTCACCCGCAAACATTATGCGCATGTTATAGAATATGAATATTAATAACGTACATACTCTATAACCAAACGGCACCGCGTAGCCAGCAGCTGGATATCCCGTTATCAATTTCAGCATAGCAATATGGACCAGTGGTCAACTGCACTTTCCGCACGCACACGTGCACATGTGGCATAACAGTTGGTTGGTCGTGTCCCTTGGGTGGTACGTCTAGTTAACCTCGTCGATGACACCGGACCGTGTGGAGCATATACTAGGGCGTCTCCAGCTGTTCGTGCACATCTGTCCAATCTATGCGCTACTTAGATATTTTATTATTCGGGAAATATGATCATCTAACCAATGCCCGGCATTCATTCTAGGCATGTTGTCCATTCATTTTCCCAAATTTCTACTGATGATCATCTTTGACTGGTCAAATGTAAATGTGTGGACGGTCAGCTGCAGTTGTGCTTGGTTGGGCGTATGTCTCGAGTACCAGTAGTGGATATATGCGACTGTGTGGTGGACTGTGTTGACGGATAAGTCAAAATATTTGGAGTGTGCCACTTTATGGTATATATGATTTTTTTGCAGGTAAACATATATTTACATCACTTATCATATGGATATACATGATTTTTATTTACCGCATTCTGGAAAGTTTACTCAGAATGGAATGCAGTTTTTGTCCGTTTACGCGGTTAAACATTATGCGGCGCAAATATTTTTTGTTAAACTGTTTTATATAATAATATCATCTATATTAAGTTCATCGCCAGAATTCATACAGGTTGGTGGTCAACGAGTAATTATGTGGCTTACCCGAAGCAAGTAGTTTGAAACCGCCTCAATTTATCTTATGATTTGTGTCTACAAAGTTTTTAATGTGGCTAGCTGTTCGCAAATTTCTTTTTTTTACATAATAATGTGGTGTACGTATACGCGTACTTATACCTAGTTGCCAGTCTGAAATTTTTAATTTAAGGCAAGCCGATGATGCCTTATTGCGCGATATAATACGTATCCTTCCTACTACCAAAACCAGCACATCGGGTAAAATTAAGCATTTGGTAAAATTAAGCATTTTTGCAGTTTATCAATAAAAAATATAATTTGGCAAGTAGTTTTGCTATATATTGACAAACTTAATAATTATGAGCTGCTCTGGCGCCAAATATTTTTTTAATGGGAACGTGTATGCTTACATTGTTTATCGGCACAGTAAAAGAACAATAAACAAACAGCTGTTGTTTCAAGAGTTATCAGACAGAATAGTCGCAGCTAATGAAGCCCGGTTCGGTCAATTGTTACAGATTCATTAGCTATTATGGCAGCGGAGTTTATATAAATTTCTTCTATGGCGGAAACAAAGTGGCGACGACATTCACATGTCGGATGATAACACTGACGATGAATTCGGATTTATCAAGCCGACCATTGAGCCTAACAAGCACACTATTGTCCAGAAAGTCGTTAGGAAAGCCGTGAAGGAAGTTTTGGTTGAAGATGGGCTTATCGGATATTACGCGGATAATTATCGATGTCGACCCCCTCCGGTCTTCCTCATTGCTGTCAGCATTACAGAGTGACAAGCAAATGTCCTGGATGGTTGATAATTCTGTATCATTATAAAACTATCATCCTGGATTTCGTTAGCGAGCACTTTTGCACAGTCTCGGTCCTTATTAAAATTATGGATCCATTTTATAATGCGATACGTTTTATAATCTGTGATTCTAAATCACATCTACACAACACCTGTTTGCCATTTTGTGATACGATAGTATTGCATAATAGCGTAATAAAATAATAATTTAGTAATTTGGTATTGTAAAAGGGCCACAGAAACTTGAAAAAAATGTTGTAACATATTTTGGTGGTAAACAGCTGAATTACTATAATTATGACAAAATCATTGCAAGAGGTATAGTTACCTGCAAAATACTCGCAGTTTTCGTTAACCGAAAGAGTCACTTGGAATTATATTAATTGATGTTGGCATATGTCATATAAAGTAACGATGGTTTCTAAAGCTTTCCGTCTTTGTGGAATAAATACGTCAAAAACTCACCGAGTATAGACATAACTCGTGTATTTTCGTGTCGGCAGTGGTCAATGCTGACGTGCTGCTTTTGAACGGTCACGCGCACTGGATTTGGCTTCTTTCTATACACGCATTAATAAAATTCATCCCAACAGGGCGCACATGAAATATAGATTATCGATTAGGAGCATATTGCATTGAATCATCGACAAAAGCCATTAGTTTGACCGTTGGTCGGCGGTATATTGATTCGTCGCACTGGCTTTTGTCAGTGACCATTGAATAATCCATAAATTACTCATGCTTTCGCCGATAAATTGCCCTGTAAGTTAAGTAATCAACTATTTTCTTTCCAGCTTGCCGTATTTATCTACTATGG